ATTTTTATATTCATAAACCTACCTTTAATTGCACCTCCTTGTGTGTCTGGCTCCTCGCTCCCTGACACTACACGAATGCCATGAGTACTGATGGTGCAGGTACGCCCCCACTCCCTATGTTGGTTGCCAGACTTGATCAGCAGGATCTCTTGTTGGCTCAGTTCGCTCAGGCGTTGAAGACGCTGCTTGCACGCACAGCGCACCTTGCTCCTGGTGCTATTAGGCCGGTTGTCACTCCTGTGGTCGGTCCCATTGATGCTCCGGTTGTTGTGCCTACCTCCGCATCTGCTGCTGCACCTGCGGTGCCCAGAGGTATGACTGGTTCAGCCCCCCTTCCACATCGCTTTGGGGGTGAACCGAGTCAGTGTCGGGGTTTCCTTAACCAAGTGGGCATATATTTTGAATTGATACCCCACGCTTTTCCTACTGAGAGGTCAAAGGTGGGCTTCATAATCTTGTTGCTCTCGGACAAGGCCTTGGCCTGGGCAAATCCCTTATGGGAGAACAATAACCCTGTGATTCACGAGTTTGCCAGTTTTGTTGCCTCCTTCCATACGGTATTTGATGTGCCTGCTCGCTCCGCCTCTGCTGCTAAGCTGCTCATGTCCATGCATCAGGGTTCACGAACCGTTGCCGAGTACGCCATAGAATTTCGTACCCTGACGGCAGAGGTGGGTTGGAACAATAAGGCTCTGGTGGCTGCTTTCTCTCATGGTCTCTTAGATGCGTTGAAGGATGAGATTGCAGCCAAAGAACTGCCTGTGGAGCTCGAAGCACTCATTTCCTTCCTAATCCTGATTGACACCAGGCTCAGGGAAAGGCCTTCACTTAAAGAGCGTCTGCGGAGGCCTCCTAACCGATTGGCACCTACGTTTCCTGTCCCACCCGTTCCTCCCTCTCCTCCCACGCCTCCTGGGGATGGCTTGTCTGGCGGTGAGCCCATGCAGCTGGGGTTTGCTCACCTTTCCGAGGGGGAGCGGGCCTCTCGGCGTCAGGAGGGTTGCTGCCTGTACTGTGGTCTCGGTGGTCATTTTCGGCAGTCCTATCTGGTCTGTCTGGGAAACGCTCACACCTGAGATCCTGTCGGGGGCAGATCTTGGGTGGAGTTTCCTCATCCCTGGTTTCCCACAAAGATAAACCGCTAATCACCGTTGTCCTCTCTTGGGCGGAGGGCTTGGTGACGGCCCAGGCGTTGGTAGACTCTGGTGCTGGCGGGTTGTTTATGGACAGTTCGTTTGCTGCCCAGTACTCCATTCCTCTGCAGGCTCGAGTTACTCCATTGGTCCTCGAGGCGATAGATGGCAGGCCCCTGCAACCAGCACAGGTTACCCATGAGACCCTGCCGGTGGAAGTAGCTATTGGGGCTGTTCACAGGGAGTAGTAATTTCTTCCCCGCACTACTCCGTGGTTTTGGGATATCCCTGGCTTCAGAAGCACAATCCGACCTTTGATTGGCGGTCGGCCGAGATTCTCTCGTGTCCACAGTGTGGGGCCGGTTGCATCCGTGGACCTGTTAAGGTGTTGTGTGCCTCCTCAGACTCCTGTGTTGCCCACTGACTATGGGGAGTACCTGGTGTGTTTGACAAGGTGCGCGCCGGTGCTCTGCCTCCTCATCGTCCATACGATTGTGCCATAACCTTACAATCCGGTGCCACTCCTCCGCGTGGCAGCGTGTATCCTCTTTCGGTTGCGGAGAATCAGGCCATGGAGGAGTACGTTGCGGATGCGCTTTCCCAGGGGCACATTCGCAAGTCTACTTCTCCAGCAGGAGCTGGCTTTTTCTTCGTGAAAAAGAAGGGTGTTGAGTTGAGGCCTTGCATTGATTTTAGGGGTCTCAATCGAATCACGATTAAGAATGCTTACCCAATTTCATTGATAACCGAGTTGTTCGATCGCCTTAAGGGAGCAACGGTCTTTACTAAACTCGACCTTAGGGCTGCATACAACCTCGTACGGATCAAGGAGGGCGACGAGTGGAAGACCACGTTCAACACCAGAACTGGCCACTATGAATCCCTGGTTATGCCCTTCGGGTTGTGTAATGCGCCCGCGGTCTTTCAGGAGTTCATTAATGATGTCTTTTGTGACTTGTTGCAGCTGTGCGTGGTGGTTTACTAGGACGACATCCTGGTTTACTCTGCATCCATGGAGTCTCATATCCAGGATGTTAAGCGAGTGCTGCAACGATTACGGGAGAAACGAGCTTTTCTGTAAGCTCGAGAAGTGTGAATTTCACCGATCCCAGGTTGCCTTTTTGGGCTACATCTCCGCTGTGGGATTTTCCATGGATCCTCAGAAGGTGGTTTCAGCGGTTCTGCAGTGGCCTCATCCCAGTGGTCTTCGGTCCATTCAGTGCTTTTTGGGATTCGCCAACTATTATCGGAAGTTTATCAGGAACTTCTCCACGCTGGCCAAGCCTCTCTCAGATCTGACCAAGCAGGGCAATAATCCCCACGAGTGGTCATCCGAGGCCATCTTCGCTTTCGAAGCTCTGAAATCTGCCTTCGCTTCGGCTCCGATACTGTCTCATCCCAATCCTGGGTTGCCTTTTGTCCTCGAGGTTGATGCATCTGAGATGGGAGTAGGCGCCCTCCTGTCTCAGCGTTGGTCGCCCGATGGACCCCTACTTCCCTGTGGGTTCTACTCCAGGAACCTTTCCTCCGCAGAATGCAGCTTGTCCTGGGTCGTTTCTCGTTTTATTCTGGTGGCCATCTCTCCATTCCGACATCGCCTCATATGTAGCGGCATGTTCTGTCTGTGCCCAGAATAAATCTCCTCGGCATCTTCCATTGGGCCTTCTGCAACCCATTCCCAATGGGGAGCGTCCCTTATCACACATGGGCATGGATTTTCTTTTAGACCTCCCTGCGTCTCGAGGCCATATGGTCATTCTTTTGGTCATTGATCATTTCTCCAAGATGTGCCATTGTGTTCCGTTCAAGAAATTGCCGACTGCGCAAGAACTGGCTACGGTTTTCGCCAGGGAGATCTTTCACTTGCATGGGTTGCCTATGGTGATTGTCTGTCTCGGACCGTGGGAGCCAGTTTGTGTCCAGGTTCTGGCGCGCCTTCTGCTCCCAGTTGGGTATCAAGCTCTCCTTCTCTTCAGCATACCACCCGCAGTCCAATGGGGCTGCGGAGCATTCCAACCAGGCCCTGGAACAATTCCTTCTCTACTATATCTCTGACCATCAAGACAATTGGGTAGATCGCCTGCCATGGGCAGAGTTTGCGAGGAACTCGGCTGTCAACTCCTCCTCCGGGATGTCTCCCTTCATGGCCAACTATGGGTTCCAATCCTCTGTATTGCCTGAGTTGTTCTTGCCACTGGACATTCCGGCTGTGGATAACCATCTTGCTGCCCTGCATTCCTCGTGGGGGCAGATCCAGAGGTCCTTGAAGGACTCAGCTCAGCGCCAGGAGCTCCAGGCTGATTGTAGACGGTTGCCCGCTCCTTCATACCAGGTCGGAGATTGGGTGTGGTTGTCCACTTGTATCCTCAATCTTCAGGTGCCCGCACCGAAACTGGCTCCCCGTTTTGTTGGTCCTTTCCGCATCCTCCGCAGGGTGAACCCGGTTGCCTATGCCCTTGCTCTTCCTCCTGGGGTGCGTATCTCCAATGTCTTCCACGTATCCCTGTTGAAGCCTCTGGTCTGTAATTGCTTTGCTGCCTCTCCGCCTCGGGCCTCGTCCTATCCGGGTCGATGGTCATGAGGAGTATGAGGTGAGCCATATCCTGGACTCTCGGTTGGTCCGCGGTCGGGAGCAGTTCCTGGTCCATTGGCGTGGTTATGGTCCCGAGGAGCGTTCCTGGGTTCCTTCCACGGATGTTCATGCTCCTGCCCTCATCCGCGCTTTTCACGCCCGCTTTCCACAGAAGCCTTATCTTGAGCCGCGGAGGGGGAGGGGCCCTTGAGGAGGAGGTACTGCAAAGGTCCTACCTTTCCTCAGACCTTGTGCTGCTCCATGTGCTGGCATCCATCTTAGGTGTCTGCAAAGCATTGTGGGATCCTTTATGCTTTCAGCCCTCTGCGGCTCCTCCCCCAGGAGGTGGCGGCTTATCACATATAAGTCTGCTGTTTTTGGCTGTCCATTGCATTCGTGTCCTGTCTGTTGCACAACAGCAAGCTCCTGTTTAGCTACTCATTGCTTTCCTGGATACCGACTTGGCTTTGGTTAAGACTCCTCCTGGCTTCTGACCCCGGCTCTGGCGACCATTCTTCCTGGCTCCTGATCCCAGCTCTGGCGACGATTCTTCCTTGCTCCTGATCCCGGCTCTGGCGACGATTCTTCCTTGCTCCTGATCCCGGCTCTGGCGACGATTCTTCCTGGCTCTTGACCCCGGCTTTGGCTACGATTTCCGCTGTTGGACTTGCATAGATTCTTGTCTTATTTTTATATTACTAAACCTACCTTTTAATTGCACCTCCTTGTGTGTCTGGCTCCTCACTTCCTGACATTAGTTTAGCCTACAGCCAGCAATTTTTGCTATTTTAACAGCTTAGCTCATTTCTTCCTTGCCCTTGCATGGTCTAGGATCTCCAGTGTGTTCCTGCCTGTGTTCCTGTGTACAACTCGTTCTGGCTGAATTGTTTTCAAGACCCTGTTCCTGATTTTTGGCTCCTGACTTCTGGTTTCCTGACCCTGGCTTGTCTACCCGCACTGGCATCCAAAACCTGGCTTCTGTTTTGTGGTCCCTGACAGATATATGCATATTTTTCTATGTATCTATTGGTATTGTTTGTGCTTGACAAGCTCATGGGTTAAATAGGGTATTGGATGTACTATGACAGCATTAAATACCTCACAAAAAACTCATTTGATGCATTTTGAAACTTATATGAAATGTGCTAGTTATTGGTACTAAAATACTTATATAAAAACATCCACAATTAATTCGTACTGCAGAAAAACACTAAGGAAAATTGCTGTCCACTATGGGGTTAAATACGTCTTTAATATGATAAAACACACATTTTTATTTTTACGTTTCTATATAGGCATTCTGGAGCCGATTCTTCCCAGTCTATGAGAAGATCCGCAGTCTTCTAAATCAGAAAGCTCTTGGAGAGGTGAAGATTGTACGAGCAGAATTTGGTGTGAACTTACTTCATGTTCCTCGATCAGTGGAGAAGGAGCTGGGTGGTGGTGCTCTTCTGGACATCGGCTGTTATTGCATCCAGTTTGCTTTAATGGCATTTGGTGGAGAAAAACCAGAGTCTATAACTGCCAAAGGATTTCTACATGAGACTGGTAAGAGTTTGTACCAACGTTAACCCTGGTTTTCTGTAGACACTAAAATTAGTTTATGTCCTGTTTATCATTAACATACTCTTTTTGATAGGAGTGGATGAAACTGTGACAGTTATCCTGCAGTACTCAGGAAAACGCCAGGCTGTCCCTAACCTACACCTTTTTGACTCAAATGCCAAACCAAGCTGTGATATGTGGCACAAAAGGAATGATTCAGGTACACTTCACTACATTGTGTTATGCGCAAAGTAAAAAAATTACACCAGGGCAAGTACATTTTCTTTCAATGAGGGCCAAATAATTGCCTCTTCCCCCATGTCCCAGACTGTTGTACTGCACCTGCAAACATAACCTGAAGTAAGCACTGGTGTGACAAATGTACATGTTTATGGAAATTACTAGATCCACATTTATTTTATTTAATATAATTTAGTGTAAATTAAAGGTAGGAGTTTGGAAATATTCACAGCACACTTCTAAATAATTCATTTTTTAAAATTATGTTGTTCCAGATTAATCTCCAAGATCCATAAATATATAAATAAAAAATGTAAACTTGCTCAACCTCACCTGTTCTTCCAAAGAAGATGGTATGAAATTGTATACGGATTCATTTCTAATACTTTATTAATCTTCAGCAAGCAGCAGTAAAAAAGAGACGGCGAACATGCAGAGCCATCTCTAGGCTTTGTGAGGCCTTAGGCAAAACGTAGACATGAGGCCCCTCTCACGCCCATAATGGGAAAAATAATTAAAGTGATAAAAAGTAATAATACATTGCACTGTACAGTGTACAATTAACTGATGGCAATTCACCCATGGCCAGTCCTCAAGGATTCCAGCATGTCAGTGGTTCATATCACACCAGGATATGCACTGCAGCGCAAGCTCCCTCTCTATAGTGATTGTCCCTTACTAGACATTATGCCTACATTTCACATTACCTAAAAAAGGCCTTAGATCTATCATCTATTTCCTAAACCTATGCTCCATACCTGCTGTGGGCATTGACTATGGTCAGTGAACCTGAATACAGAAAAGAACATGGTGCTGAATTTCTTTGACAGGAAAAGTTAAAGCATTGCCAGCATCCTCCTGCTTGCTCCTCCCAAGCTTCAGAATCTTGCAGTGTGGTTAGTGTAATAGTGTATGAATGCATTATCCATCATGGTCCATAGCTAGGCTGGTAAAGAAATGCCCGTAGCGGAAAAAGAAGAAAAGAATTAGCGCAGGGCAGGCATGACTAGGCCCAGAGTGGGAAGGAAGATGTGTAAGGGTTAATGATAGTATTAGGGGGGTTGGTAAAGGATAACTGGGGGATCTGGTTGGTAGAGGGAGAGTGTAGGTGGGGTCTTCTGCACTTTAGGGTCGGGTGTCCTGGTGAGGGGCGTCAGTCGGAGCTGGACGTAGGAGAGAGAGCTTCCACGCCAGCGTGTCCTGTACGGGCTACCTTCCCTGTGCGGGAGGGTGTGCGGGCAGTGGCAGCTGTCGTGGAGGGACTGTTGGCCCAGCTGCGTGAGTCTGCTGCCTCCAAAGGGAGGGACTGGCTGCAGAGCCTGGTCTCCTGACTTACTGCAGGACCCGGGCTCGTCACCAGAGGTGCAGGGGGACGGGAGCGCCCATGTGCTCGGAGGTCTAGGGCTCCGGAGCGCTTTAGCCTGGGCCCCCCCCCCCCAGAGCTTAGCGCCACAACGGGAGCCCCACTCGGGACCCTCCGGCCGCGCTGGCAGGACGCTCTTCTGCCTCTGCTCGCGGGGATGCTGGGAGGAATCCAAATCTACGGCGGAGCTCTGGCGGGGGGGAGGGGCTTCTTCCACAAGTGACCCCGCCTGCGCAGCAGAGAGGACGTGATGGCAACGGCTCCTCCGCTGACGAGGCACCTGTCAGGGAGGGTGCCCAGCATGGGAGGCGTACTGCTGCGGCTGCCGGGCTGTCTACTGCTGCGGCTAGCGGGCCCCCTGAGCAGCATGGAGCTGCGGCTCCTTAAAATTAAAAAAAAAAAAAAAACACCGGCTGAAGAGCAGCGCTGGGCGGAGGGCTGGCAAGTGCCCAGGGACATCAGTGAGTGTGGCTGGTGCCGGGAGGCAGAGTCAGGAGCTGCACAAACCTGCGGGACCCGTGGCTCCTGGGACTGGGAGGCCATCCTGTCATCAAGAGGATGTGGACCGATCTGAGAGTGAGCTGTTGGAACCCGCTGCGGGGGCGACAGCTGGCCGCTGGACGTGGAGTTTGGACACGCGGCTGATGGGATATCTCCTGGGCAGCCTGGTGAGTTACCTGTTTCTGGGCCTGCTCTCTCCTTTTCTTCTGCTCTCCGGGACCTATTGGGGGGAGGTTGGGCCACGCTTTTGGGTGCGGCTTCTGCGGTAATGGAGGGTGGGGTTCCCTTGTCGGGTATTGGTCCGGGTCTTTGTGATTTGCTGTCAGGCCTCCGGGACTTGTTGCGGCGCTTTGAGCGAGGCGGTAGTGTGGGCGCTGGGCCGGCTTCTGCGTGGCTCCCGCCTGCTGGTGGGGATGTTTGCGGGGTCCTCGCGCAAGATAGTGGGGACGTTCGGGGCCCAGTGATTTCTTATCCTCCGGGTTCAGGGCCAGGGGTGGTTACAGAGGAGACCGGTGCTCTGGGCTCTGCGGCCCCATCCACGGTTTTGGGTGAGGGTGCGGGGGGTGCTAGGGCCTGTCGGCTTGGCAGACTCGGCCAAGTGCAAAGTGTATGTGTGCTTCGAGGGCACGTTAGGTGCGCACTTACTTGCGGATGAACGGGAGAAGATTTGGAGAGGTGAGTATGTCGAGATTTTCACGCTCTTGCCCTTGGAGCGTTTTCCTTTTGATGGGTCGAGGGGTGACGAGGGCAGGCAGGAGGAAGCGGAGAAGCAGCATTTTTCGCTTTATCCCGCGTACTTCTGGTAATTGGTTTCAGGCATTTGCGATTATGGCCAATGTCATTGGAGAAAAGGCCACTGAGCATTGCTCGGCACTTTTCTGTTACCTTGCGCTATTAGCGAGGCTCACAGGGTTACGGGGGGACTGCATGGCTAAGGTACGATGAACAGTTTCGGCAGCTTAGGGCTGTTCGCCCGTCGTTGCGCTGGGACCATTAGGACATTGGCCTTTTGGATGCGACAAGTTCAACATTTAACCCTTTAGGGGATAAAGTATCAAGTTTATATATGTTTTTCACGTTTTAAAAGTTCTCTGACAAAGTAACCTCTCTTCTGCGAGAAATTAAGTGCATAAATTCCTTTAACTTTAGTGCCCTCTAATTTTACCTCCATGGTATTTTGCATTATGTTGAGCTAAATTACTTTCAGGATCATTTGATTTAATATCTCTAAAGTGTTCACCTATTCGTACTTTGAGCTGCCTTTTAGTTTTACCAATATACTGTACATTTTTTTACATGGACAAGTCAACAAATATAGTACTCTAGCTGTAGAGCAATTTATAGGAATTTTTAAAAATGGGCCTTATTGTTCGACTCAGAGAATCTATCAGTACGATCTACAAATTTACAGATCTGACATTTTCCACATCTAAACATCCCTTTTGGTGTGTGACCTAAGCCATGTTGATTGTTTCAATGGCTGATACTCTGAGTGAATAAGTAAATCACCACGATTTTGTGCTGTCCTTGCTACCATTAATCACCTACAATTCTACCTAAATTGGGGCATTGCGTAAGAATCTTCCAATGTTTTTCAAGTACGTTTTACTTTCCCCCATTGTGCTCCAAATTGGGTTATCATCCTAACCGGTTGTGGAGTCTGTTTACCTGAACTGTCTTCCTCTTTTGAAGATAGTAACATTTTCCAATCAGTTTGATATGCTCGTTTTCTTGCCTTCCTAATCTGAGAATGGGAGTATCCACGTTCCCTGAATCTTTTATAGAGGTCTTGAGCCTCTAATCTGAAATCATTGATGTTGGAGCAGTTTCTGCGACACCTCAGGAACTGACCAACAGGTATTCCAGTAATCAGTGAGCGTGGATGATAACTCCTTGCCTCAAGTAGAGTATTGGCTGCAGTTGGTTTTCTGAACGTTTTAGTAACTAACCTGTCACCCTCAAGTCTAAGGTCAAGGAAGGAAATTCGCCATTTATCAAAAGTATATATAAGTCTGATGTTCAAAGAGTTATGGTTTAACTTCTCCAAAAAGAGTTTTAATTCCTCCAATGACCCTCGCCAGACTAGGTACATGTCATTAATATATCTCAACCAAATTTGAACATGAGTGAGAAAAATGTGACCTATAGACAAACTGTTCTTCCCAGAAACCCAAATGCAGACATGCGTATGCCGGAGCCCAAGGTGCTCCCATACTAGTGCCTCTTACCTGCTGGTAGAAGGTGTTTTTTTAATTGAAAAAAGTTATGATGTAGAGCAAAATCTAATAACTTGTGAATTCATTTTGTCCGCCCATCTCTTCCCCATCCAAACCCTGCACCTTGGAACCTAGTAAACACCACTGAAAGGAAAAACATTATGACTCAGTAGCTATTTCACTCCCATAACCAAAAACTGTTGTAACTCCAAAGAATATTCACTGTACCCTAGATAAGTGAAATTTCAATGCTTCTATTGCTAAGTGGTGGGGAATCAGAGTATAAAGATCCAGCATCCAAATTAACCCAAGTATAATCATCTTTCCACATTAGAGTCTCTACATGGGCCAGTACAGCTTTGGTATCTACATTACTGTATATCCAAATAGATGTAAAACTTGAGGTTGGAGATGTGCATCTAACCATTCACTAAACGGTTTCAAAATACTGGCTACTATTGGGCATCCTTTTAATGGGGTCCGTACCATATGGACCTTTGGTAAATGGTGAAAAATAGGAGTTATAGGGGGTAATACCCCTAGATGATCTGCAACTTGTTTAGTTTATTTTTCACCATTTATCAAAGGTCCATAAGGTGAGGACCCCATTAAAAGGACACCCAATAGTAGCCAGTAGTTAGTTATGTTCTCTTCTTTTGTTCCAATGCTAAATAAACTATCCTGAAACAAGAGTAATATTCTTATTCAGAACTTTACATACCTCCTTGTCTTTCAATTGTCATAAAACCTCTTGCTTGTTCGTATATGAACCTGTATCAGACTGATATTCTCAAGAAAACACAGAATAAGCAATTTCTGATTGCACGTTTTGAGATTTCAGGTAAACTAAAATTAACCGCTTTCTTCCTGGGTTTTAAAAAAGATTTAGGCATATTCTTATATTTGGTTGAACGTCTTCCCCATGCATAAACAGTCATTTTTTGTATAATTCTGTGCATTATACAGAAATTGAATGTGTTCTTGGTTTACATAATTGATCCTTCTAATGTTTCTTTTTCCTTATTCATTTTAATTAAAAGCTCCAGATTTATGGCTAAATTATTATATTGCATCAAAGTATCTTTATAACGCTGTGCTGTTAACCATTGTTAACAGTTGGATCTATTTCTTAAAGTGGTTATAAACTTCTGAAATTAAAAATGTATAAATCCTTCTAAAGCGTTTACTTGCGTCAATCCGAAGCTCCAAGTATCAAATCTATCTGCTGCCTTCTTCCTCTGCTATCCACATGAGTCAATCCTGAAAGGTTATGCTGACTTCAAACAATCAAGGGAGAGGGGGTGCTCCTACACACAGCCTGTAATAGACAGCCTCAGCTGTGCATGTTTCCCTATGGGACCCATGTTCAATCCCTCCACTCAGGTCTCAGATTACACTCAACTTCCTTAAGAACCATATGTATATGGATATTGCCACCGGCAACAAGATATAACGGGTTTTTCACGCTATTGCACACTATCACACCACATGAATATGTACTGTATATTGCCATCTGGCAACAAGAAATCATGGGTTCTTTATTATTCATTTATACTCTGCTGCCAGCTGTGTGTGCTGTGCGTGAAATCAGATGTCTGCCCCCTGCCTTCTGAAGCTCATATGTGCATTTTTTTTTCTTTAAGGTAAACTTGGCCTTTAACATTTTTGTCGCTGAAATTATATGAAATATATTTTGGAACAAATGTATTAATTTTTTTGCCTTTGTGGTTTAATTATGTTACAAGAGAGTATTGGGAATATTTTTCCTTCTGGTGAAAAAATAGATGAGCATTAAGGTCTTGTTACCTGTAAAACGTATCCAGACACTTTTGTGATCAGCTGATTGGGACTAAACGTCTTTCATCCTCATCCTCTATAGAGCTGGTTAATTTCTTTGAAAATAGGGGTGATCTGTATGTGAGATTACGTGTTACAATATTTTTGTGGAGAGAAGATTGACAGCAGGGGTGCCCTGTGTAACTGAAATATGTTGGCTAACCCCTTTTTTTCCTGATGCTCGCTGAAGATTAATAAATGATGGAATTGGAGCTCTGTACTAGAAATGTTTGTATAATTTCAAAGACCTGATGCACACACTATAAATGAAAGAATTTCTTATACACTATATTGGCAAAAGTATTGGAACGCCTGCCTTTACACGCACATGAACTTTTATGGCATCCCATTCTTAGTCTGTAGGATTCAATATTGAGTTGGCCCACCCTTTGCAGCTATAAGAGCTTAAACTGTTCTGGGAAGGCTGTCCACAAGGTTTAGGAGTGTGTCTATGGAAATGTTTGACCATTCTTCCAAAGCGCATTTGTGAGGTCAGGCACTGATATCAGACGAGAAGGCCAGGCTTGCAGTCTCTGCTCTAATTCATCCCAAAGTGTGTTCTGTCGGGTTGAGGTCAGGACTCCGTGCATGCCAGTCAAGTTCCTCAACTCCAAACTCGTTCATCCATGTCTTTATGGACCTTGCTTTGTGCACTAGTGCTCAGTGATGTTGGAACAAGCAGGGGCCATCCCCAAACTGTCCCCACAAAGTTGGCAGCATGAAACTGTCCAAAATGTTTTGGTATGCTGATGCCTTAGGAGTTCCCTTCATTGGAACTAAGGAGCCAAGCCCAACCCCAGAAAAACAACCCCACACCATAATTCCCTCTTCATCAAACTTTACAATTGGCACAATGCAGTCAGGCTAGTAGCATTCTCCTGGCAACTGCCAAACCCAGATACATCCAGATTGTCAGACAGAGAAGCATGATTGGTCATTCCAGAGAACATGTCTCCACCGCTGTAGAGTCCAATTTATGGCATGCTTTACACCACTGCATCCAATGCTATTGGAAATAGTGTATGTCAACACTGGAACTAAATTATTTTTCAAATATTTATCTACATTTTGGCAACATTTGTAAGCAGCTAAACCTACACTATGTAGCTAAAAGCAAATGAACACACCTTCAAGCTGAGTTCAGCCGCAGGTGCAACAGGTGCATAAAATTTAAGCAAATAGTAATGCAATCTCCATTGACTAACAATGGCAGCAGAATGGATCATTCATCTTTTCAGATGAAATAAAATGCCAATTGCGAGCAAACATTAGTGCCTGACCGCACAAGTGCTCTTTAGGCTGTGTATTCTAATTATTCATACAAGAGAAGAAGATGGCCTTTGTTCAAATCTATATGATTTTGAACTTCTCATGGGAATTACCAATAGTATGTAAACACGGGAGTGACCTGCTTCTCTCACTGCATATCTAACGCTCTGGGTCTTAAAACGTAACTTTTATTAACCACTTACAGTCCGGACACTTTTACCCCCTTCCTGACCAGGGCAATTTTCAGCTTTCAGCGCTATCACACTTTGAATGACAATTGCGCGGTCATGCAACACTGTACCCATATGAATTTTTGACCATTTTTTTGAGACAGATAAAACTTTATTTTGGTGGTATTTATTCACCGCTGGGATTTTTATTTTTTTTGCTATGTAAATGAAAATGTCCAAAAAATTTTTTAAAAAGTGTTTTTCTTATATAATTTTGCAAATAAATAATATTTCATCATAAATCTTGGCCAAAATTTATTCCGTTATCTTTTTAAAAAAAATAAATAAATAAGCAAATTAGTTGATAACCAAAAATTATCATTTTTAAACATTTTTTACATTTTTTTTTTTTGTATTCTTTTTTTTTTTTTTTTTTTTGCATACTGTCACCCTAGCAGTACAGTGTCACCATGGTCATTGTGGGGTGTGATGAAGATTTTTTTTTTTTTTTTTTTACACTAATTGCTTTTACACCCATATAGGATGTAAAAGCAGTCATTTCTCTTTCTCTCTGTCTGCATTCTTGCAGCCATTGAGAACTACTGAGTGAGCTGTGATTGGTCACAGCTTGTCACATGGTACAAGGCTGTTGTGAATAGCCTTGTACCATGTGACCTCTGTGATCATGCACAGATTTCACACGTAGTAAGCAATGATGTCAGAAGTGACATCTTGCTTACTACTTTGCATGTGATCACTGAGGTCCCGTCCGACGATCGGTGTTTCACTGGGTTCGGAGCACACAGCGGGCACCGGATCGGGGGGCTGCGCGCTCCCGGGGAACGCGCACAAGCAGGGTGCGGGGAGGCCATTTATAAATGGCCACCCGACCCTGCATTGCCACCGTCCGGCCGTTTTATATACAACAGCCGGTCGGGAAGTGGTTAAACATGTAAATACCAGACCCCTTTCAAGAATAGGTTTAGTAATTCAAATAATCTGAGATTGCTATTTTATTAGCTAGGTAATAGATTTACTTTATTTTATGTTTGTTCAATATAAGTGGATTACCACATACAGAACTGTTTTCATATTGAGTTGATCCTTACAAATCTCCTTCACTCCAGATTCCTTCATTCATGTGGTCTCCAACAACAATAATAGTTAATGAAGAAGAAACAAAGTATCCTCTTCCTCCCACTATAAAACATTTGAACTTTTGGAATAGCACAGGACTGAGTTATGAAGCAGAACATGTGCGACAGTGTCTTTTGAAAGGTAAGTGGAACCAGCTTTGTTTCTTTAGGTAGTCTCTACTAGCCTCATGTGTCTGCTGGCCTGGAAGTAAGAGAATCACAGCAGGCTCCCCTCTCACACCAACAGGGCAGTCCACTCGTTTGCACCAGTTGGGGGACAAACAGGTAAACAATCGCAACAGTTGAATAAAACCCTCTGAGAGTTAAAATAAATAAATAGGTTAAGAAGCCCAACACAGTATGCTTGCAGATAAATAAGGCTGAAATATGATGTGCATTTGAGTTGTCTTTACAATGGTTTACACAGCACAAGCCGTGAAACATCAGTGACCCCAACAAACGGGCAATCCTTCACCAGCTTTCATGTGCACTCACCTTTCAACTGCGACCCGCAAGGGGCCACAAAGCATAAACACAGACCGATTTATCTTAGACTGGATGGATCTCAAAGGTAAGACAATCAAGGGTCCTCTCCATGGCATATATATCAAGCAGTAACTGTTAGGGATCCTACAGCGGTAGCCTCTAGGGCTCCACAGACCGGAATCCCCCAGGGTGCAGAATCTAAGCCCCAACCTGCTTGTTCACCAGGGCCCCTGGTGGTGGGGATGGACTTGGAGCAGGCCCAAGACCAGGTCGCAGCCCCTGGGTTCATCCAGCTGTGTTAGAAGCACTGTTGGAGGTGTATAGCAGGTGAGAGCCTGATGTGAGGAGGTAACAAGAGCAGCGCCAGACAGACCGGGTCGGTAACGGTGGGGCGGCGTAGTACAAAATCAGCAGGCAGAGGGATAAACAGGTCACAAGCCGGGTTTGGTAACAAGAGATCAGGACATGCAGGGTTAAGCAGGAGAATGGTCAGAAAAGCCAGGGATTAGGACAGGAGACAGACAGCAAATCAGGGTCAAGCAGGGTCGGCAACAAGACAATCTACTATTCAGGAAACAGGTAAGACCATACGGCAATTACACACAGTCCTAACCTGTTTTAAATAGGGCACCGGCACCCTGATTGGTGCCAGGCTCGCATCCGCGATTACGGGTGCGCATGCGCGAGCGCTGCTGCAATCGCAGGTGCCCTGGTCCCAATGCTCGCAACGCACATGTGCAGACCCGTGCGCGATCGCGGCAAACACTGGGGTCCCTAACATTGCTCCCCCTTACGGGCCACCTCCGGATGCCCACCAGATTCCTCCTTTGAGGCTGGTTACGAAGGAATTCCCACATTAATATGGGGGCATGGACATTCTGGGCAGGTTCCCACGAATTCTCCTCCGGCCCATAGCCTTTCCACTTGATCAGGTATTGCACCTGACCACCCCTCTTCCTACAATCCAAAATTGCCTCCACCTCGAATTCTTCCTCCCCGTTGATATCTATGGCTTCTGGAGGTCTAGGCCTGCGGTCTAAAAAGGGGTCTGGAACTGCAGGTTTTAACAACGATACGTGGAAAACTGGATGTATCTTGAGATTCGGGGGGAGCCAGTTTAAATGCCACTTCATTAACCTTGCGTTCTACTTGGAAGGGTCCCACAAATTTGGGTGCCAATTTTCTAGATGGGCATGTCAGTTTTAGGTTGGCTGTTGACAACCAAACCCGATCCCCAGGGTGTATGACCAATTTTCCCTTTCTCCTCCTGTCACAGAACCTTTTACTGTCTTCTTGGGCCTTAGCCATTGTTTCCTGTAATAACTTGTTATTGGTAGTAAAGAATTCTAAGGTGTCCTGGGCAGCCCGGGACTGAGTTCTCTGGAACCAGGTCTGGCAGGAAGGTAGGATGGAACCCATAATTGGCAAAGAATGGGGATTGGTTGGTGGCAGAATGGTTCGCATTATTATATGCGAATTCTGCCATAGAAGTGTCAGCCAGTCATCCTGCAGGAATGATGTATAACATCTCAGATATTGCTCAAGTGTCTGGTTCGCTCTGTCTGCCCATTTGTCTGGGGGTGATATGCAGACGAGAAAGATAACTTAATCTCCAACCCCTCACATAGCACTTTCCAGAATCTGGATGTAAATTGCACTCTCCGGTCCGAGACAATCTCTTGGCACTCCGTGAATCCTCGCAATCTCTTTAATGAACACTTGGGCTGTTTTGGAGGCAGATGGTGTCTTGGCTAGTGGAAGGAAATGGGCCACTTAGAAAGGCGATCCACTACCACAAAGATCACAGTGTGATCTTGCGAGGATGGCAATTCTACAATAAAATCTAAGAAGATCATACTCCAGGGTCGGTCAGGTATTGGCAAAGGTCTCAATAGGCCCCAGGCCTTGTCTCTGGTAGGTTTATTCCGGTTGCAGATGGGGCAAGATCTCACGTACGCTTCACAATCCTTGGTCATGTTTGGCCACCAAAATGTGCGTCGTGCCAGATCTATAGTCTTATGTATCCCAAAGTGCCCCGCTAGGGGATGGTCATGGCAGTAACCTAACACCAGGGACTGGACCTCCTTGGGTACCAAGATCTGTCCCCCCCCCCCCCCCCCTCCAGAAAAGACCTTCCTTGTTCTGTAAGGAGACCCCAGGCAGGTCAGTAACCCGGATGGAGGCAGCCTGCAGTTTAGACAACAGCTCAAATTGAAGCAGTACGAAGCTACCTGCTGGCAGGATGGTGTCTGGCTGGGGTGTCTCTCTAGGGTCCTCAAACATCCGGGAAAGAGCATCTGGCTTAGTGTTCTTTGACCCAGGGCGATAAGTTATATGGAGATTAAACCTTGCAAAGAACAGTGCCCATCTGGCCTGGCGTGGATGGAGGCATTTAGCTGTTTTCAAGTACTCAAGGTTTTTATGGTCAGTATAGACCAGAATGAGATGTAGGGCTCCCTCTAACAGATATCGCCATTCCTCCAGAGCTGTCTTAATGGCCAGTAATTCCCGGTCTCCGATATCATAGTTCCTTTCCGAAGGGGAGAGTTTCCTAGAAAAGAAGGCCACTGGGTGCATTAGCTCCTTGGCCCCTACCCTCTGTGACAACACCACTTCTACAGCCACTTCTGATGCGTCTACCTCTAGTATATAGGGCAATGATGCATCAGGGTGGCTCAGAATGGGAGCCGTTGTGAACAGCCTTTTCAATGCCTCAAAAGCTGCCTGTGCTGCTGGGGTCCATTAGAAACATACTCCCACCTTGGGGAGCTGGGTAATGGGTGCTACCAGGCCAGAAAAGTTCTTTATAAATTTTCTATAAAAGTTGGCAAACCCAATAAACCTCTCTGAACTCCCTTCTTATCTGTGGGGGCAGGCCATTCCAGGATGGCCAAGATTTTCTGAGGATCCATAGCAATCCCCGTGGTGGAGATAATTAGATCAAGAAATGAGATGCTTTCTTGCTCAAAACAGCATTTCTCGGCTTTAGCGTAGAGTCCATGCTGACGGAGATGTTCCAGCATGCTCCTAACATGTTCCCGATGTGCCTTCAAAGACTAGGAGAAAATCAAAATGTCGCCCAGGTAGACGATTACAAAAATGTCAAGGAAATCCCTGAAAATGTCATTGACATGGAAGGTGGCTGGCGCATTACATAACCTGAAAGGCATAACTAGACATTCAAAATACCTGAACCGGGTGTGAAACGCCGTTTTCCACTCATCCCCCTTCCGTATTCGTACCAGGTTATAGGCACCCCTGAGATCCAGTTTAGAAAAGATGGATGCTGTCTTCAACCGCTGAAACAACTCTGGGACCAAAGGAAGGGGGTAGTGGTTTTTGACCGTAATTTTATTGAGGTCCCTGTAGTCAACACAAGGTCTCAGTTATCGGTCTTTTTTCTCGACAAAGAAAATCCCTGCCCCGGCCGGTGATGTGGGAGGGTGAATAAATCCCTTCCGGAGGCTCTCATCAATGTATTCTTTTAATGCCCCTAGCTCCCGTTCTGATAGTGGGGAAAATGCGGCCAAAAGGGATTTCAGAACCCGAGAGCAGATCGATGGGGACAATCATATGCCCGATGTGGGGGAAGAACTTCTGCCCCCCGTGGACTGAACACAGCCAAGAATTGATGATAGGCTGCAGGCACAATTTGGGCTAATTCGGCATCAGGGCTTACAGCTAATAGGGCCGGTGTATCTAGTGATAACCTAGATAAACAATGATCCTGACAGTATCGTGAGGGGAACTGGACTGACCCGGTCTTCCAGTCAATTTTGGGGGTCGTGAGCTCGTAGCCAGGGGAGCCCCAGAATAACTGGAAATAGGGGGGACGCAATGACGTCCAAACGGAGGAGCTCCTGGTGATGCCCCGCCACCGTGGTGTGTAGAGGAGGGGTCTCCCGATCTACCGTCCCCCGATTTTATCTGAGACCCATCCGCCAAGAAAATATTCAACCAATGCTCTTTGGCGAGTAATGGTATCTGATGCTGGGTAGCAAAACCGAGATCGACAAAGCAGCTACATGCCCCGGAGTCAATAATAGCCATCACCTGTAGGTTTCTTCCGGGGAGCTGAAACGACACAGGCACAGCCAAGTGAGTGGGGTTGCCTGCGCACACAGTAGATATAGAAGAAAAATAGAGGAGGACTTACAGTATTTCTCTGGACAGGAGCGCACCATATGACCCGCTGCTCCGCAGTACAGACACCGGTTGTTAGCCCGACGCCTCTGTCGTTCCTCTGTCGAAAGGGAAGGCCGCATCAAGCCGAGTTGCATGGTCTCGGCTCCCTCTGATGGCTCTGGACTCCGATTGCCGACACTGACCCTTGGCATGACTGGTACCCTTGGCAGCATCCATTAGGTTCTTTGCCCCTGGCTGGACCTCTCCTGTCTCCTTTCCCGCAAACTGCGATCGATTTGGATGGCCCGATCTATTAGGCCCTCCAAGGAGTCAGGGACGCCTATTCTTGCCAACTCGTCCTTTAGCGGTTCCAACACTCCCAACCGGAATTGGTGGCATAAGGCTGCGTTCCATTGCGTATCTCCACTCCAACGCCTAAATTCAGCAGCATAATCCTCCGCAGCCCAGCGTCCCTGTTGTAGGGAATAGAGGGCTGCCTCAGCCGAGGTAGCTCGATGCGGATCGTCGTACAGCTGTGCCATTGCCTTAAAGAAGGTGGCTACGGTATTCAAATGTGGGTGGTGGGCCTCCATCAGACAATGGGCCCATCCCTGAGGTTCACCCTGCAACAGGGATATAACAAATTCCACCTTCACCAATTTCCGAAAAGAAGGTCCGGGGTTGCAGGTCAAAGTACAGCTGGCAGGCGTTCTGGAAGGCTCTGAACTTCCATTGGTCCCCATTGAACCGCTCAGGGGTTGGTACTCTTGGTTCTGGCGGAGGAATGGAAAATGCTGCTCCAGTGGAAGGCCCTGCTGAACCCATGGTGGGAGGCGTCCCCACTGTGCCCGATGTTGTGGGTGCCGGTGCGGCCAAGCTCTGGACCTGTCCCCCCAGGTGCTTGTATCCCTCTTCCAATGTCTTTACCGTTCGTGTGAGTGCCGCCAGATTTTGGCACATCTCCTCCCAGGGTGAGGGTCCTCCTCCAGACTCTGTCATGGCCGTATGGTTCTGTTAGTGATCCTACAGCGGTAGCCTCTAGGGCTCCACAGACCGGAATCCCCCAGGGTGCAGAATCTAAGCCCCAACCTGCTTGTTCACCAGGGCCCCTGGTGGTGGGGATGGACTTGGAGCAGGCCCGAGACCAGGTCGCAGCCCCTGGGTTCATCCAGCTGTGTTAGAAGCACTGTTGGAGGTGTATAGCAGGTGAGAGCCTGATGTGAGGAGGTAACAAGAGCAGCATCAGGCAGACCGGGTCGGTAACGGTGGGGCGGCGTAGTACAAAAATCAGCAGGCAGAGGGATAAAACAGGTCACAAGCCGGGTTTGGTAACAAGAGATCAGGACGTGCAGGGTTAAGCAGGAGAATGGTCAGACAAGCCAGGGATTAGGACAGGAGACAGACAGCAAATCAGGGTCAGCATAGGACAGGAGACAGACAGCAAATCAGGGTCAGGCAGGGTCGGCAACAAGACAATCTACTATTCAGGAACTCAGGAAACAGGTAAGACCATACGGCAATTACACACAGTCCTAACCTGTTTTAAATAGGGTGCCCTGCGCCCTGATTGGTGCCAGGCTTGCGATTGCAGCAGCGCTCGCGCATGAGCAATCGCGGGTGCCCTGGTCCCTATGCTCGCACGCTAGTGCAGCCGGGCACACCGCGCATGCGCAGACCCGTGCACGATCGCGGCAAACACTGGGGTCCCTGACAGTAACCCCAATGTCCTTTAAGGTGTGTAACTTTAAATCTCCTCCTCCTCCAATATTCTCACAAGAAATTATCAAAAAAAAAAAAAGGCTCCCCGGCAACTCTATTACCAGGACAGCCAGATTCCCGCCCTTGTGTTGTGTTATGTTGTTTTTCTGTTTGTATATGTTTTATTCAGGTTTTGTCCTTCATATACAAACAAAAAAAACCTATACAAACAGAAAAACAGCTGGTGAAGGATTGCCCGTTTTGCTGGGGTCACTAATGTTTCACGGCTTGTGCTGAAGATTCACTGTTTTTTTGGGAATATTTGTTCGATGACACATTTTTGCCATTGACATTATTTGTTTTCTATCTATTTATTTATAATATTTTTTTTATGCATTTCTTACCCACTGAACACTTTTCTCACTTGATGAGTTTGTGCATCTATTGTATCCATCATTTTTTTGGTCACATTTTATTTTGGTTGCTACTTGTTACACTTATTGTTGCTTTACACCTGCTGGTATAGTTTTTTATATGGGTTGTTTCCTTTGCACATGATTTATATGTTCTTTATGCTGATTGTTCACCCACTGTATGAATAAGTAGCGCAGCACTTTTTTGCGCATTATTTATATGCTTTTATGCTAATTGTTAACTCACTGTATGAATAAGTAGCGCAGCACCATTTCTTATATACTTTTTTTCTCACTATTTGATTATAGCTAGGTGTTTGCAGCCACTTAATTGGGTTTTTGGTACATCTGGCAGAGCAGGAGGCTTCTCTTTTTCTTCATATTAATGTATGGTTTGATTTATTTGCTACTTTATATGTCCACTGGTATACACTTATTATGCAGATTTGTTAGACTAGGGAAGGCACTGCCAATCTTATTTTAATTTCCTAGTGCTAACTATAGTTGACTAGAGTCATATTAGTGTTCTGTTACTTTGAAACTCCGTTTTTAAATTTTGAACATTTTTACGCTATGGCTAGATCACCTGGGTAACTATGTCCTTTTGTTGTTTTCAGGATTAAAAGAAAGTCCAGTAATGAGTTTAGCAGAGAGTGAATTGCTGGCTAGTATCTTGGAAGAAGTCCACATACAACTAGGCATCTACAAGAACAAAACATGAATGCTGACATTCTTTTGAACATGCAAATGTATTTAATATAAATAAATGTTTCCTATAACAACTCTTAGCATATATGATTCATGATCTTGAGCAAGGAATAAACCAACTTTAATTTGATCTATCGCTAATGAGCATGGAAATGCAAGGTGTGTTTTTACTTTCCTTAGCTTCTGGAGGGTCAAGAAGAAGACCTAAGATTATTTTCTTGACTACTGCATGGCAGCATCAGTATGGGTAGTCCCGTCCTACCCCCATTCTACCTCAACAGGCAGACATAAATTACTCTCACCCCTTAGCTGAGGTAGATTATTCTGTCCTTCTCTTCATGGCATGGAATTTATATCAAGATTCACTTCTTGCAAGGCATAGTTTATGGCACAGGTTCATGTCCTCCATCCAGATATTCTAGCTCCTGGATAGCTCCCTGCGTGTGGATGATTAATAGTGTCCAAATGAGGACCACCATCTGTACCAATACTAGGTATATTTTTTCACACAGCACCATACTCCTTTTTTTTCCAAAATTCACACTTCTGTGTTTAGATTTAATGTTTAGATTTAAATCTGTTGTATGTGCAGCAGAAAAGATGAATGCTGTAAAAAGCCACAGACCAGATTGAAAACCCCCACACCAAAACACAAGAGTATATCATAAATCCTGTTTCGCTCTAGATCTGCATAGCCTGATGATACAGTGGGGCAAAAAAGTATTTAGTCAGCCACAAATTGTGCAAGTTCTCCCACTTAAAAAGATGAGAGAGGCCTGTAATTGGCATCATAGGTAGACCTCAACTATGAGAGACAAAATGAGTAAAAACATCCAGACAATCACATTGGCTGATTTGGAAAGAATTTATTTGCAAATTATGGTGGAAAATAAGTATTTGGTCACCTACAAACAAGCAAGATTTCTGGCTCTCACAGACCTGTATCTTCTTCTTTAAGAGGCTCCTCTGTCCTGCACTCATTACCTGTATCAATGGCACCTGTTTGAGGTTGTGGACAGGTGTCTTTTATACTGATACAAGTTCAAACAGTCACACTCCAAACTCCACTATGGTGAAGACCAAAGAACTGTCGAAGGACACCAGAAACAAAATTGTAGACCTGCACCAGGCTGGGAAGACTGAATCTGCAATAGGCAAGCAACTTGGTGTGAACAAATCAACTGTGGGAGCAATAATTAGAAAATGGAAGACATACAAGACCACTGATAATCTCCCTCGATCTGGGGCTCCACACAAGATCTCACCCCGTGGGGTCAAAATGATCACAAGAACGGTGAGCAAAAATCCCAGGACCACACGGGGGGACCTAGTGAATGACCTGCAGATAGCTGGGGCCAACGTAACAAAGGCTACCATCAGTAACAGACTACGCCGCCAGGGACTCAGATCCTGCAGTGCCAGACATGTCCCCCTGCTTAAGCCAGTACATGTCCGGGCCCATCTGAAGTTTGCTAGAGAGCATTTGGATGATCCAGAAGAGGATTGGGAGAATGTCATATGGTCAGATGAAACCAAAATAGAACTGTTTGGTAGAAACACAACTCGTCGTGTTTGGAGGAGAGAGAATGCTGAGTTGCATCCAAAGAACACCATACCTACTGTGAAGCATGGGGGTGGCAACATCATGTTTTGGGGCTGTTTCTCCGCAAAGGGACCAGGACGACTGATCCATGTACAGGACAGAATGAATGAGGCCATGTATCGTGAGATTTTGAGTGCAAACCTCCTTCCATCAGCAAGGGCATTGAAGATGAAACATGGCTGGGTCTTCCAACATGACAATGATCCCAAACATACCGCCCGGGCAATGAAGGAGTGGCTTCGTAAGAAGCATTTCAAGGTCCTGGAGTGGCCTAGCCAGTCTCCAGATCTCAACCCCATAGAAAACCTTTGGAGGGAGTTGAAAGTCCGTGTTGCCCAGCGACAGCCCCAAAACATCACTGCTCTAGAGGAGATCTGCATGGAGGAATGGGCCAACATACCAGCAACAGTGTGTGCCAACCTTGTGAAGACACACAGGAAACGTTTGACCTCTGTCATTGCCAACAAAGGATATATAACAAAGTATTGAGATGAACTTTTGATATTGACCAAATACTTATTTTCCACCATAGTTTGCAAATAAATTCTTTCCAAATCAGCCAATGTGATTGTCTGGATTTTTTTTCTCATTTTGTCTTTCATAGTTGAGGTCTACCTATGATGCCAATTACAGGCCTCTCTCATCTTTTTAAGTGGGAGAACGTGCACAATTGGTGGCTGACTAAATACTTTTTTGCCCCACTGTAAATGACTTATTGACTGCTGTAAAAAGTCCTTAGGACCATCTGAAAAGGCAGAGACTTTGAATGCTGCCCTATCGTAAATAGTCATAATGGGGTTTATTTACTAAAGCTGGAGAGTGCAAAATCAGGCTGACTTCTGCATAGAAACCAATCAGTTTCTAAGTTCAGCTTGTTCAATTAAGCTTTGGCAATAGGACCTGGAAGCTGATTGGTTTCTTTGCAGAAGTCAGTCTGATTTTCCACTCTCCAGCTTTAGTAAATAAACCCCAATATGTCAGCCAGAAATACACTTTGGTAAATGTGGACTTGTCACCTGAAACTGCCCTTTCATACATACCCTGCTTACAACTGTAGGCATATATCAGAATTGGTAGTGTAACTGAGATGTTATAAAATATGGCTATAGTAATATATAAGAGAATCACAGTCTACAGGCATTTTTTAACAAACATGCCAAAGCTATAATGTGCAGCAGCCAAATTGGTGATATTACATCTCTTAAGGAGAACACACATATTCATGATCCATGTTGTGTTTGGTGTTTATCAAATCATGCTTTTATTCTATTCAAAAGAAAAAGTAAAGCACACTAGATACTGGAACAAAAACATTTTTTAATGATGAATGAAAACAGAGAATTGTACTCACAAGGGCTGAGAGGTGTCATCAAGAAGCAAGATACACAGCCTGGTCCACGGTATGACGGCCTCACTGCCTCAGTATAAGCCAGTATCAAGGGGAGAAAAGAAATACTGACAGTCTGGATTTGAACAGGCTGACACAGCCAACACTGCAGGGATGGAGATCCTAAATCAGCTGTATAGAATCCTCCATGATACATTCTCAACACGCAGATGCTGTCACTAAAATAAATAATAATAAATATAAAATATACTGTCAATAAAAAATGTTACCTTTTCCTCAGCAGCTGAGTTCCTTCCTTTTATTCTATTAATGATGCACTGGTTTTCAGATTGTAATACCTTTTTTCATCTGGAATTATGGATAAAGTTTGAATAAGCTGAAGTATCATATAACACTTCAAAGCCCCTTCAACACCTCTCAGACCCTTTGATTATGTAATTTCTGTAAATACCCTCTTCAGCAATCAGAAATGATGGATGCTTTTGCAGCCTCATTTTCCGCTAGAATTATGCCTGAATGCTAATGGTCATTTCTAATGGCCAGTGACTGTCAGAATTAGACTTTTTCTGAAAGGAATTCCACAGGAACTATAGACCAGGCAAACTATGCTAAATACTTTTCATTTTTCATCCCATCTATTTGTAATATATTTTCTCGTACCATTTTATTTTGCTTTCATTAAAACAATATTTAAATGCTCAAAATAAGGGCTCCTGTTCGAGTGTCACAGCCATTTATTAAGGTTTGAAATTGTTCCGCCATCTGCTGTGAATTTGTAAAGGTTTTCGTTATGACATGGTGACTACTGTTTGTGTGTGTGTAAAGAGTTAACTGTGGAGTTAATGGACTCCATTAACTATGTCAGTGTGCTGAAGCTTACATTGCTGTGATCTGGGAAATTTCAAGGTGATGCTGAGAGTGCAAAATTTTTTTTAACCCTCATACAGTATTATACTATTGGCATTTTCTTTTATATCGCCCTATGTGGAATCGTTTTGGAAGGAGATTCAGTAAGAAATCATTAAAGGGAAAAATGTCCAAGATGGCGACCGGAGCAGCCGCATGACCACATGCTCCGGACGCCTCCGCGCTCCCGCCCGCCATCCCCCGGGAGCCTGGCCACTTTCATCCACCTGGAAGAGAGGGAGACCTCCGGCAGTGCCGCTCCCTCCACGGCGGACGATCCCGGCCATCCGTCCGCGGCATCCATCCCTCCGTCCGCGTGATCCACACCGATCCGCCTCCACCCCGGCCCTTCTCAGCTGCTCCGAGCCCAGGTACGTTGGGCACGCTGGGGGAGTGGATGGCCGAGCCTCCCTGCTGCTCCACCCCCGACTCCACTACAGCGGCGCCCGCTCCTGCAGGGCCCAGCCGCTATCACACCACTAGCCACCAGGGACACTAACAGGGGCGCCTGCAAACCACTACCCACCAGGAACTGCAAACCACTACCCACCAGGGACTATTGAACACAGGGGCAACCAAATAAGCCCCCAGCCCACAACCCTACTGCCTCCCACCGCCCGCTGCAGTCCACATCCAGGCCACACCACAACTGGGCCCGAAGCCACCTGACCACCAGGCCAATCGCACCACCCAGCCCCCACCTCACAACCCTACCACCCGGGTAGTTAGAGGACTGGGTGAGGGCACCGGCAGTCCCCCTGACCCTGCTGTGAAGCAACTGGGACCCACATCACCTATATATTACAGTACTCAGCTCGGTAATGGATGAGATGGCAGATCTGCGCTTATAAACCGGCGTGTATACCACCACGGCATTCAATGCGAAAGCCGCCGGCGGTAGGCCGCGGGCCTGTATCCACATATCAGCAGCATAGTACCACATGGACTTCGTATAGCCAGGCGCCGGGGCAGTGCGAACTCCGCGTGTAGGCTCATGTATATCTTACAAACCACTACCAACCTGAACTGTATCTGGATGGATGTGTTTTAATAAAGATCGTATCGGGCCCATTCAGATACAGACTGACACTGTTTAATCTAAGGGATGCTTGTACAGGGAATGGACATACTACTTGGAGATGATAGCATATAAAGG